TTTTTGAGAGAACTAAGCATCCGATTTGAATGATTCAAAAACTTTCTGCTTGTTTTGTCAAAATAATTGCTTTTGAAATAAAAATGTTTCAATTTATTTTTAACTTCCCGTAGGGTAAGTTATTGCAATCGTTCAAAAATCGAAATTGAAAATTTTTACATTTCTCGACGTTTTGAAGATTTCTGAATCTTTTGGCATACCTCAGAAAAAATTGATGTGTGTGTGTGTGTGTGTGTGTATGTATGTATGTATGTATGTATGGATACAAATTTCCAGTCGCGTTTTCGGGCGCACGGGTTAACCGATTTAAACGGTTCAAAAAACATTCGATTCCTATCAATAGGGAAAAGAGCTGATTAGTTTTTAGCAAAGGCAGGTCCAGCAGTTACAGAGATAAAGAGCAAAGAGTGCAGAAAATAGAAATCGAGTTTTTGAGAGAACGGAGCATCCGATTTGAATGATCTAAAAAACATTCAATTAGTAATGATTGGCAGAAGTGATTATCAGATTTTGGCAAAGGCAGGCCCAGCGGTTTCGGAGATACGGAGCTAAATGTGGAAAAAATGGCAGTTTTTGAGAGAACTAAGCGTCCAATTTAAATGATTCAAAGAACTTTCTGCTTGTCTTGACAAAATAATTGATTTTGGAAAAAAAAATTTTGTCTCAACTTTTTTTTTTCAAAAAAATTTTTTTTGTGTATCGAAAATAATTCAGATTTTATTTTTAATTCTGACTAAAGTTCTAATATACTTTAAACAAATAATTTCAACTTTGCAATTCAGTTTATATAATTCTTATAAATATTAGACAATGTTACAATATTTATAATAATCTCTTTGAAAACATTCAGTATTCCTCGAACATTTCGTTACGGTACGGGAAGTTCCAGCAATTTGCCTTAAGGCACGATGCCATACACCCCACGACTAGTTTCATTTTGTTTTTGTATATCGAAAATAATTGATTTTAATTTTAACCCTAGCTAAATTTCTAAAGCACACTTAGAAATAAATAATTTTAAATTTCCAATTCAGTTTATTACATTCTTAGAAATATGAGATAAGGTCCTTCATTGTAACTCCGTTTGATTAAGTTTTGTTTATATATTTTTCATGTAAACATATATAAACGTCATCGTTCAATGCATAAGCTCTTATATTTTGTCTATAAAATACGAATAATAAATAAAAATAATAAAGTTACAGTATTTATAATTATCTATTTGAAAACATTTAAAATTCCTAGAATATTTCATTACGGTACGGAAGTTCCGGCAATTATATTATAATTTAAATAATGTACAAAAATATATAAATTTAGTTAATTTTGAAGTTTCATATATAAATTTAGTTAATTTCGAACATTACTCGAAACTATATTCTGAAATCATTGTAATCTATTTCCATTTCCATTTCAATTTTCGAGTTGAATTTCGTGCCGACGAAATAAATTTGCCCAACCTGAGTGTGCCGTGAAAACTTGAAACATGCGCATGCAATACTACGCGCATGATGCACAAACACCCGACATACGTCGTCGCATGAGGCAATACGTCCGAACAAGTTTGCTAGCGTGCCGTATGTCCGCGTTCAAATCAATTTGTTATTTTTGTCATCACAAGCTAGAATGTAAAACAGAACATCTTAAAACGTGAGATTGGATAGTAGTTAACATCTCGGAGAGGTCGGGAGTGTATTAACATCTTAACCACCGTCACCCACTCGCCAAATTACACCATGGCTGAACCAGAAAGGCTCCTGAACAACCAAAGTGCCTCCACAGAAGCAAATCATCGGTTAGTTGCAATTATTTTATACTATTCATAGTACTATGCATGCCTCTGGCGACCGGCGGCCATGTTTGATAATGCGTCTTTACGATTCGTATTTATTGACCACATGGCGTTTTGTAAAGGAATTTTCTAGTTTATTCCTTAAACATCACTCATCCACTTTATACAAAGTGCTCTTAACATTATACATGATGCTGTAAAAGTTATAAGTTAATATTTCATGCATGATTTTTTGTTCTATTTGTGCCGGTTTGGCAAAAACTTCGATTGCGAAGGAAGCGTCATAAAATTTTATTGCGTGATAAGCAAATAATAATCATGTATAACATAAAAATAAATTGTGCGATGATTGAAATTGATTGCTTTCAGATTTCTCGAGATAATGACGTATGATGCAAATCGTAAATTGATATTTTTATAAACAAATTTTATGGCTATAAACAATTTTTTTTGGTTATGTATTACAAATTGATTACAACTTAATTTCCACATTTTTTCTATAAGCCAGTCCAAGATTTTTAAAATTTTAAGTTTTAATTTTCTTTAAAAGTTAGATAGTCTTCTTGTGTATTCCTACTAAATAATGCTTTGAAATTAACAAAATCATTTCCTGCTTAATTGTTCATTATAATTTGAAGAGTTTCTAATACAAATTCATTTCTACATTCAATATTGTTTCGAGGGCTTTTGTTAATTATGTATAACTCAATTTCCACTTCTTTTTAAATGTTACTTCTTTGGATATACAGGTGATATCTATTATTACTAAATATTGTATTGAAATTAACAAAATCGTTTTTTGCTTCATTGATAATCATAATTAACCAATATCTTATGCAAATTTCTACATTTTTTCATGTTTACATTACCTATACAGTATTATTTTGTTACATTTTTCATAACCACACGAGTTAAATAGATTTAACTAACAATGGAGTTTTCAGGTTTATAATTTTTGTAAGGAACAATCACTTATCATTGATTGCGCAGCAATTGGAAGGTAGCAATTTCTGCCCTCGAAGGTTTTATTTTTTTTAAATTTCTACTTCTATTTCAGAGCTCAATTTGGACTTTTTTTTAAATATCTACTTTTCTTTTAAAGATAATTGCATAGGTGATGTTCTATTCATGTATATTTTAATAAGTATCATATTCAGATTAAAAAAATCTCAATTCATTATTTCTTACTAAACAATGCTATGCAATTAACAAAATCGTTTTTTGCTCAATTGATAATCATAATTTACCAAGTTTCTAATGCAAATTTATTTTTACCTTTATGTTCATATTAAATATAAAATGTTTTGATACATGTTTCACAACCATACGAGTTAAATAAAACTAACGAATAAGTTTACAGGTTCTTAATATTTTTTGTAAGGTACAATCACTTATAACATTGACTGCGAAGGAATTGGAAGGCAGCAAATAATAATCTCATATAAAAATTATTCTTATGAAGGATAATACTTACCCTTCGAGGCCTTTTGCTAATCATGTATCATGCCAATCATCAATTCAATCATCATCAATACATAAATTCATTCAATTATGCATCAGTATATAAATTTCATAGCTATAAAACATTTTTTGTTATGCATTATAAAATGGTCAGAACTCAATTTGGAATTTTTTACGATTTACTTTTCTTTAAGAAATAGTTACATAGTCTTCTTGTGTATTCGTGTATTCCTACTAAATAATGCATTGAAATTAACAAAATCATTTCCTGCTTAATTGTTCATTATAATTTGAAGAGTTTCTAATACAAATTCATTTCTTCTACATTTAATATTGTTTCGAGGGCTTTTGCTAATTATGTATAACTCAATTTCCACTTCTTTTTGAATATTATCTTTTTTTTAAAGATACAGATGATGTCTGTTCTTACTAAATATTGTATTGAAATTACCAAAACTTTGTTCTTTGGCTCAATTGGTTAACTGTACGTTCATCACAATATTTTGTTACATATTTAAACACTACATATTGAATCAATATTAATTAATGAATCAGTTTTCAATTTTATGTATTCCTAAAGTTTTATAAATAATAATCATAGCATAGACATATGTATTGCGGTTATTGAAACTAATTGTTTTCAGCCTTCATTGCCTTCAGAGCTTGATATTTCAATACTACAAAAATAAAATCACAATTAATGATTTAATTGCAAAGGAAGCAATCTTTAAATTTTATTGCTAATAATCACATAAGATTATAAGTATGATTGAAAATAATTGCTTTCAAGCCTTCGTAGGCTTGCTCAGTATCAGATTGATATTCTCATAAATTAATTTCAATTTTCATAAAAATATCAAGTTCCAAATATGTAATAATGTAATTGTACTGTTATGTTTATTTTTCTTAGCATTATGTTCTAAAGCTACATGAATTAAATCAAAATCAACTAAGTAATTAGTTTTCAAGTTTAGAGCAATTTTTGTAATGAGCATGAATGCTGATTACGAAGGAATTATCATCAAATCTTATCACATAACCTAAAAATAAATCTTATGATGATGCAAATGTATTGCTTTTAGTCTTAATGGACTATTAAACTAGTAATATATCATGCAAATCACGTATAGTTTATGTTCACAAAATTTATGTTTCAAAAATATATTTGTAAAATGGTCTACAATTTAATTTTTGGTCAAGAGTTCACTTTAAACTTCTTTTAAGATATTTAACTTTTTTTAGAGATAGTTACATATGTGATGGCTATGTATTAAGAAATCTTTATTTGCTCAATTGTTCTTTCCTATAAAAAATTCAATTAACATGAAAGATAAATTTAATTTTACTTTCATTACAATATTTTGTTCATTGTTTCAAAACTGCACGAGTTAAAACAAATGTAAGCAATGAATTGTTTTTCAAGTTTATAGCTTTTCTGTACATAACATAAAAATTCAATTTAATTGCTTTGAGTCTTTATGCCTTTTGCTATGTTTTATCATTCAAATCTTAAATTACTGATATTGCTGTAAATATATCATATATTAAAACTATTTAATTAAAAAAAAATTACTAATTAAAATGAACTTCCTTTTTTCAGCTTCGAAGGTGATGGGAACTGTGAAATGGTTCAATGTCAAAAGCGGATATGGATTTATAAATAGGTCAGTTTAATAATTATAATATATATTATGATAAAATATATAAACCAGATAATAGTTATCTATTATAATAGATATAAAATAATTCATTTTTAGTTAAGAATCATTGTGATTTCAGATCTCATATTCTTTTCTTTATTTCAGAACTGACACCAAGGAAGATGTGTTTGTACATCAAGTAAGTATCTTAACATAATTTCAATTAAATATTAAATATACCAAGTATTCAAAATCTGCTTTTTAATTTAAAATTTAGCAACTACTTTTTATTTAAAATTATCATATATTGTAAAGTAACATTTGTTCCCTAAAATGATTAAAAATCATTTTTAGTCATGATAAATAAGATATATGGATCTGTTATATCCGTGACTTAATATTTTTTCCATTTTCTATTTCCAGTCTGCCATAGTTAAAAACAACCCGAAGAAGGCTGTCCGCAGTGTAGGGGATGGAGAAACTGTGGAGTTTGATGTGGTAATTGGAGAGAAGGGAAATGAGGCAGCTAATGTGACCGGCCCAGAAGGAGAGCCAGTCAAGGGAAGCCCATATGCGGCCGACAAACGCCGCAGCTATCGCCAATGGAGCTACCCTCGTGGAGGACCCAGGGGACCCAGAAGAAGTTAGTAGAATCTTAGTAATAGTTACCTACAAATTATAAGTGGTCATTTGCTAATCATGCTAGGCTTGGATGGGTTTTAAGAAAATAATGAAGTTTCAAAAAGAAAGGTGCAACACACCTTTATTTTTACCCAAATTTTGGAACAAATTTACAAAAGAATTTAATTTTATTTAAAATAATTTATTGTTAGGGGTCGTTCAAGTATTATGTAAGCAATATAGGGGGGCGGGGGGGGGTTATTGATTTGCTTATTTTGGCTAAGAACTTTTGCTTACTTTTGCTGACAAAGGGGAAGGGGAGGGGGGAAAATAATTGTAATAAATCTGCTTATGTAATACTTGAACAATCCCTTAGATGGGGGATAAAGGTATTTTTAAATAATTTTTGGATAAAGATTTTGATGTGATCAGTGAATGGCCTCTGTAAATAATTTCAATTATCATTGCATTCTCCTTAGATCCACTTTCGGTTATTATAGAAAGTGCTTGAGTCATAAGGATGCTAGATCACGATACCTCCATGTAAGACAATGATTCCAAATTTTTTAATATTTGAAATCAAAATCTCTATTTGGGGAACAATATTTTAAATTACATTTTGCTTTTGTATACATTTAATTTGAAAAGTCATTTAGTCGTTTTGCCGGTACAGTACTCCGGGAATTCTGAAAATTCAAAATCTTATAGATTTCGAGGTGCTCTTCACGAAAATCAACTTTGCCACCTCAAATTTGAACGGCAAGTTGCCGCTATATTGAAAAAATGGCGTCAAACAACAGCTTTTTTAAAATATCTCTTTTCTGGCTGATTCTACGATAAAAGTATTATTCTACGAATTAAACTAGATAAAATTTCCTATAATTCTTTAGAAAACCGTTTTTTTGTAAAATTGATAGTTCGAGAGTACGGCCGGCCTCGGTCTTTGCTGCTCTCGCCGTAGTATTAAATCTCTCCGTATATGACAGCACTTTGAACTTGACCACATTCTTTCTAATAAATAAATATTTTCAATGTTAAATTAAGCGAATAAGATCTAGAAATAAAACAATTCAAACAATTTTCTGTTTTTTTGCTGATGTTTTTAACACTTCAATGGCAAAGTAGCTATAAGTAAGTAGCTTGAAGTATTAAAAAATCAGCAAAAAGCAAAAAAATATTTGAATTGTTTTATTTCAAGATCTTATTCGCTTAATTTAACATTGAAAATATTTATTTATTAGAGAGAATGTGGTCAAGTTCAAAGTGCTGTCATATATGGAGAGATTTGATACTACGGCGAGAGGAGCAGCAAAGACTTTGAGGCGGCCGTACTCTCAATCTATCAATTTTACAAAAAAACGGTTTTCTAAAGAATTGTAGGAAATTTTATATAGTTTCATTCGTACATAGATACTTTTATCGTAGAATCAGCCAGAAAGGAGATTTTAAAAAGCTGTTTTTTGACGCCATTTTTCCAATATGGCGGCAACTTGCCGTTTAAATTTGAGGTGCAAAGTTGATTTTCGTAAAGAGCACCTTGAAATCTATAAGATTACCAATTTTCAGAATTCCCGGAGTACTGTACCGGCAAAACGACCAAATGACTGGACTATTGATGTTAGAGTGATTTATCATTTGACTAAATTTACATTGTATATTTTTCCATTATCCTAGATTACGAAGGAGGCGAAGGTAAAGAAGGGTCGGGTTCGGGAGGCGAGAACGGTGATGGGCAAGGGCCCGTACAAGGAGGCGGCCCACCGCGTGGCCGATTCCGCGGTCGCGCACGATACAGCAGCTATTACGGCCGTGGCGGACCGCGCCGGGGGCCACCGCGCGATCATCAGACGGACGGCGACGAACACGAAGGCGCCGACGACTCGCAGGTAAGAAACATAGAATTTTACACATTACTTATGGGCTTATACTCGGATAGACTTTTATTGCGAAGGTCACGCTTATTTCGTTCGAAATGTTGTAAGTGTAACAGCAATTCTCGGTGACATGTATTATCTTGTAGGGCAACATAACTCTGAAAAATAACAGATTGTTATGAGATAGTCTTCTTATACTTCTGGGTGAAGTATAATTAATGTTATCTCAATATTTTTATGTTCTATGTGGAATTTAGTTTTGAGACAGAATAAATCCAAAATTACTTACACACTTATGAGTTCGGTATAAATTTTTATCAATTTATAGACTATAAACGTCTATTCTCGGATGCGTATCTTACTTACCCCAGTCAAATTAAGTTTTCAGTTAGGAATAATTCGCACAGAGCTGAAATTCGGTACAGATGTTAAATAGGCCATTACAAATGAAATGTCAAAAGTCCTCATCGATCCGACATCTGCGATTTTTTTTTTATTCAAGGTCAAAGATGGAAAATTATAGTTTTTTCCATTTTCCGCCGAAACCATAATTTTTTTTTAAATTATGTTAGATAGGTTTATTTATTATAAAATTCTCTACTAAATTGTTATTAATAATTTATAAACAGCAATATCTCAAAAACGGTGATTCTAACAAAAAAAAAATTAACAATTTAATGCTTACTTAGTCTTTTATTTAGTTACTCATTTAGTAAAGTTTATTAATTATGATTTGTTAGTAATTTTCTCTAACTTTTGTCATTTTTTTATAATTGTTTTTTTTTACTTTGGCCTAAGCTCTCCAACAAATATTTAAACAAATATTTTTTTTTTATAACAAATAGACATAATTGCATTCTCCTTAGATCCACTTTCGGTTTTCATAGAAAGTGCTTGAGTCATAAGGATGCTAGATCACAATACCTCCAAGTAAGACAATGATTTCAAATTTTTTAATATTTGAAATCAAAATCTTTATTTGGGGAACAGTTATTGTAATAGCTATTTTTTGTCATCTTTTTATCGAAATCAAACATTCGAATTTCATAAAAAAAACGCAATTTATGCGTTTATGCGCAATAACTAAGATATTTTAATTCGATTTTAATAAATTTTTTGAAGCTATTTTTCGACGTTTTAAGTCATTCTTGATCGTTCGAGTCACAATATTTGAAATAGTATGGTTATATGTGAAAATTTTATTCCAAATTTTCGAAAATTTAAAAGCCATTTGCAAGGCGATCGAACGAGGGATGCTTTTTAGGATTAGAAATTTAGAAATACGAAATTTATTACTTATTACTTCAGTATAAAAATTTTCTATTACCTTTTCACGAAAATTCTGTACCGATTTTGACAATATTTTTTTTGTAAAAATCTTGTTTTCTATTTTATATTTTCAATCATGGTCTGATAGTGTGGTGGCTAAGTTATCTGGTAAGTGAATTAGGTGATCCTCGGGCGACTTTTGTATTTGTCTAAAGGAAATACAAACTCTGACAAATACAAAACCTCCTCCAGGATCACTCTCACTTACCAGAGAACTTTGATACGATACTACCAGGGCAAGTTTAAATAATTCATTGATTATGAATTCTATCAATCTCAAATGCACTGAGTTCGGTCAGGAAATTTTGTATTTTTATAACCCATTTTTTTTATTCGAATATTGTTGGTTACCTATCTCATTAAGATAGTTGGAAAAAAATTTTAGAATAAAAATATTCTGTACTACAGTAGAACCTCGTTTATCCGGACTTCAGTAATACGAATTCCTCATTATCCGGACAACCAACCGCGACTAATTTCTATGTATGTACATTCCGAATTTGAATTTTCGCATATTTAATGCTGCAGTTTAGTGTATGTATGTAATCTAAGAAAATATGTATGTACATTAGGGTGGTCCTTAAAATGGTCATTTTCGAATTTCCTTGCTCCCAGGGGCTCAAATGGTTCCAAATTGATAAAAAACAATTCTCTGAAAGTTTTAGCTCTTAATATTAACGTTTAGATAGAGCGCAATTCAATCAAACTTCGTATGGAAAGAGCATGAAAAAATTTTTGAAAATTTAAAAAAAATGTTTTAGGTATAACTTAGCGACAAATGAATGAGTTTTATTCATTCATTTGTTCGCTAAATTACATCTTAAAAACATTTTTAAAATTTTTCCATGCTATTTCCATACAAAACTTTGAATTGCGCTCTATCTAAACGTTAATATTAAGAGCTAAAACTTTCAGAGAATTGTTTTTTATCAATTTGGAACCATTTGAGCCCCTGGGAGCAAGGAAATTCGAAAATGACCATTTTAAGGACCACCCTAATGTACATACTTAAGGGACACAACTAGTGTGAAATTTTCAAAAAATCGAATTTTCAATTTTTCCATATTTCGATAGGTTATACCTTTAAAAATAACATAGCAAAATTTTAAATCGATATCATAAATAGTTTTTGAATTACAGCCATTTAAAAAGTATATATATAGTATATAGTATAACGATCATTTAATCTTTAAACGCGTTTTTCTCGAAAACAAAAAAACAAATGATCCGATCACTATCAAATTTTTTTTACTTGTTTTATATATAGTTCTCCGTAAAATGAGCTATCGATTTTTTGATCGGATCAAAAATCGAATTTTGGCAGTCCAAAAACGACCAAAATTTTGGGTAAAATTCGACTTTTTTTAAAAAAACGCAGTCATTTTGTCAATTTTTGATTTTTTTTCTTTATCGTAGTTCATTTTACAGATATTATCTAGTTTAATGAGATTTTTTTTTTTTTAAATTTCATCCACGTAGAAGGCCGGAATCACTGCAGCACTGAAGGGCCTTTTTTTGTCGCGCCGTCGGAGATCGACGATAACTTAAAAAATATTAAATTTTTTTCTTCAAAAAGTTTACTATGTATTCTTAAAACATGTATAAATATATTCCTAAAATTTTGAAATGTTTGATAAAGTAGTTTTTTTTAATATAAATTCCCAAAAATCACCTTTTTTTAGGCGGTTACACTAGTTGTGCCCCTCAAGGTAGTGTTAATTTCTAAAAGAAAAATTGGTTTTCGTTAATATCTACATATTTTTATTATTATCAATAAATACACATTATTCTTCATTCATTTGATTATCCCAATGCCCATTGATAATTGGTCCGGTTAATCGAGTTTCTACTGTACTTACAGTGAACTTCATATGTAGAAAGTAATGTTTAATATTATATTCTAAAAATTGTTGGGTAGAATACCCCAGGGTAGAAACACTCACATTTAAATCACTGTATTTACCTATATTAATGAATAATTAAAAAAAAACAATATTATATTTTTCCATTCTTCAACTCAACTTACATTTCTCTTCTTCTCTCTCCAGGGTCAACCCCGCGGCTTGCGTCGCGGTGGCGGAGCTCCGCGCCGCTTCTTCCGCCGCAACTTCCGCGGCGGACGCGGCGGAATGCGCAGGCCGCGCAGCGAGGACGGCGGCCAGTCGGCCGGCAACAATGACGGTGGCACCGGCGGCGGCGTCAGCGAAGGCGAGGGCGGGCACGGCGAAGGCGGACAGGGACAGCGCGGACCGCCTCGCCCGCGCTACAGGCGCCGCTTGCCGCGTACAAACCGAATGCCCCGGTACCAGAGTGAGGGAGGGGACAAGAAGGTCAGTGGTAGATGATAAATGAATTATATAATAACTGCTTGTGGTAATTTTGAACTAGTGTTTTGATTTGGCAATAGGTTTACGGGACCCGTCAAATTGACGGAATTCAAATTTTGATATATAATACTCAAAAAAATAATAGCACTAGTCTTAACGACTATGTGTCGTAAATTCTTAATTTTATTAAGAGGGTATTCTAGTGTAGAAATTCAAAATCAGTTTTTTCGTTTTTTTTTTTCATATTTTCAATGTTTAAATCTATCCTTGCTTCAGAGGCTTCAAAACATCGCTTTTTGGAGGAATTTTTAGTAAAGGACATAAACTTTAATTGAAACGAACCTTTCAGGTTTAATTGTTATATATTTCAACATACTTCTCAATTTTTTTCATTAACCCAGACTTTTTTCGACTTCAATTAAAAAAAAAAACTTCTAGTAATCGACTAGTATCGACTTGAAATTTCTTGACTTTTCCTAAAATTTCATTAGCTGTCGATCAATGCAAAAATCAGGACGAAAAAATGTACAGATGGATAATTATAAGGATATTTACTTTTTTATACTTCGAACGGTCGGAGTGGTCTGTCCACCCATATATTTTGTATGAAATATACGCTTTTTGATAAATGTAAACCAGTATTTTGTTTTTTTTTCTGGTATTTTCTATTCAAACTGCGTTTTATATATTCTTTGCTCTGTGTTGTAACATGAATGTTGGTATTTTCACGACGAGAGTTCCTTGAAAACCTACCAAACTTATTGGTCATCGCGAACATTGAAAATCGGATAAGTGAATGCTCACATTATCAACAATTTTTCTACCCGTACTGCGTTCGAAAATTTTTTTGGCAAACCTGTAATGAAATTATATTTTCAACTTGAATTTTACAGCTCATTTCAAAGGCGAAGCACCTCATTTCGTTTTCATTTGAGTTTCACATTCATTTGTAAGAAGCCGAAAAAGAATATTGTTTTTCATTGATATAAAACAGAAAAATTAACAAAAAAACAGCAACGATTTTTTTATATACTTTGATTTTTTTTATATAATATATGTAATATTTTTATTATAAGCAAGCTCAACACATGCAAAGACGGTAAGAAAAAGAAAAAATCTAAACTATAAATATTTTCTACTAATAATCGTTAATATATCTAAAAACTCATTTATCCCATATAAATGCATGTAAAATGAATGGTGGTCCAGCCACACCACTCAGACCGTTCGAAGGTGAATAAATATCCGACCGACGCAGGGTTAAAATGTTTGCCATAAAATGCGAGGTTATTATTGAAAATATTTATTTTCAATAATATAGATTCTTGTTGAACCTTGGGAAGATATTTTTCCAATAAAAAATCGTTTTTTAAGCCTCTAAAGCAGGTTTCCCCCTTTTAATAAATTTAAGAATGTGTGTACGAGAGGATTTTCAAAAATTTCAAATTATTTTCGGATATACAGCTGTTTCACCATAATAATCCTCTTCTGTTGCCTTCCTTTTTGCGAAACATTCAACGCATTTTTCTCAAAACTGTTCTAATTTTTAACATTAACCTTTTTGGTTTTAACTTGTTTCTGTACTCTTGCAAATGACTTAAACTTAAACATGAACTAAAATTTATGCCTCTACACTAGAATACCCCTTTAATAGATATCGTATATACAATTTTATTTTTTTTTTATCGAGTTTTCTAAACTTGAAAATTGATGTGGTCAGTTGAATTTTTCGCTACATTTGTATATATATATTTACATTTAGGAACACAATGCATGTTTTAGAATGGTTAGTTGTTTGGCCGACAAAATCTATTTCAATTTCCTAAGTCTGCACAATCTACTATTTTAGCAGCTTTATTTCTTTTATTATTTAAATCTGCGGTTTCCAACCTGTGGTACGAAAATAAACGAAATATTTAAAAAAAAAAATCGAAAAAATAATTTTTTATGCATATTTTTACATAATATTGCATATTATCTGTAGTCAGTTTATGAAATGAAATTTTTGTAAAATAAAAAGGGACAAGTTTTTTTTTTATTAAAGTAGAGGAGCGCGTTGCAAGAAAGGTTGGAAACCACTGATTTTATTATTCTTAAACTTTATTTTATTTTTTTATTTTCATCCTTTTTCTATATCAAAGATGAGCAACTCGCGGTTCGCGGGCTTGATGCGGCCCTTTAAATATTTTTTAGCGGTCCGCGAATTACTTAATATTATCCTGGTAATAAATCATGTTTGTTTTTCTTACTACATTATTTTATCAAAAATAATTAGCTTTTTTAAATTTTGTACTTTTATTTACCAATGTTTATTACTATATATTAAGCTTTGTGATTAATCAATAATTGCGGCCCGTAAGTTAAAAAAGGTTGTTCATCCTTGATCAATATCCTATTTATTATTTTATTATTCATTCTTTTGATTTTATTAGCCTGAGGCATCTTCAACTTCAAATGGAAGTTCGTCCACCCCTCAAGTAAGTTAGACTTCTAGCCTTTTAAATCGTTAATTGTAAATTATTGTACGTACACCCTAAATTTTTGTTAAAATTTGTAAAATTTTAGTGTTTTGTAAATAGTTTATATTGTGTGCGTTCAATAAAATCATGATGTTTATATATCGTCGCCTTTCCTTAATAATAATCAATATACTTTATCCTAGGGAATGCAATACCGGTATACCCGTATACCGCCCAATTTTTCGGCGGCTATAATACCGGTATTTACCCGAAAAATTCCGGTATTTTCGGTATTTTTACATACGCGCTAGTTGGTTAAACAGATACATCTTTTAGTAGTTCTATAATATAAACAAATATCAAAATATGATCTCTACTCGTCAATAGAGTAGGGTTATATACACGTAGGATTTTCTAAAAATTTAATTGGTTTTTTGAACAATTTAAGGTCAAAATTTCGTCGAAAAAACAAAAAAAATTTAAAGAAACTGCAATTTTCTCCAAAATTATTTTGTTTATTGCTTCGATTAATTACTACATTTATTATTTCTTTATTGAAGTCTTTCTGGATTTTTAATTCCGGATTTTCTTCAGAGATAAAGTGGTTACCGCAAAACGTCTTTTTCAAGAGGTGGTCCCGCAATCTGCTGTTAATTTTTTTTTTTTAATAATTATTTTTATCTGTATTTTTTACAATTTTGAGAAATTGTAAGTTTTTGGAAAAAATGTTTTTTTTTTAGTTTGTAATATTTTGGAAATTTTCAACTTTTTCTCAAAGGAATTACACTGCTTTATCTGTATAGAGATGCATATCGAAACCCATAGAAATATAAACAAAATTGATACAAATTATTCAAATCTCCATAAAATATCTGATAATTTGATGTGCATATGTCTAATGATCATTTTTGACCTCAAAATGAATTTTTTTTACTAGACCTCCAAAACCGCTAGACCTGCTCTCCGAAAAATTTAATCAGTTCATCTTGTCAATACAAGTAAAATGTTTTTTAAATTATTAAAATTGGACGCTCCGTTCTCTTAAAAACTGGGTTACCGTTTTTGTCACTTTTTGCCCCGTATCTTCGAAACGATTTCTATTTTCTGCACTCTTTGCCCCGTATCTTTGGAACGGCTAGACCTGCCTTCGCCAAAAACTAATCAGCACGTCTCCTTATCAATACGGATCGAATGTTTTTTGAATTATTCAAATCGGTTGATCCGTGTTCCCGAAATCGTCGACGAAAATTTGTATCCGCACATACATACACACACATACATACATACATACATACACACACACATACACACACGCACACACACACACACACACACACACATACATCCATCCATTTTTTCTAAGGTATGCCAAAATGTTCAGAAAGCTCTGAAACATAAAGATATATAAAAATTCTCAGTTTTGATTTTTTTGCAATTACTATAACTTGCACTGCGGGATGTTAATTATAACGTTTAGGTGTGATAAGTGTGAGTTTCATAAAAAATATATTTAAATTCTAGTGATGAAAAAACGAAGTGACTTTCCGAACAACCTTATATAATTTATATATGAAGTTTAGTTGTATACAGTTGTAGTTGTATATATAATTTTTTATATTTGTACTAATGAGAAATTACCGCAAAAACCGGTATTGAAATTTATCGGTATTGCATTCCCTACCTTATTCATTATTTTTAACATTTCCTTCCTATTGTTTATTTTGTAAACACACTCTATTATGCATGACTATTTTTGGTACAATGGTAAATTAACAATTTAAATAAAAATTTGGGTATTAATGTTGTTTTTTTTTGTTTTCTAGGAGGGTGGGCAACCCGTTCAGAACACCGTTACAGAAAGCACTGCTTGAGCAGTGGAACATGTCTCGGGAATCTCAAAGATACCTTTAGCGAATACAATATCTATAACTGTTTGCTAAAATAACATTTTTATAGACATCCCCCTTTAAAAATGATAAGGAAAATAGGTTGCACACATATTTTCTAATGCATAAAAACTGCAGGATTGGTTTTCTTTTTTATTTAATTTATTTATGTGTGAAGTATGAAACAATGCTTATTGCTGTGCAACCTCTTTGGTTATGTATTGTTAAATCATAAAACGTAAAGATCTGATTTTTAGTTTGTTTACATTTTGACAAACCTGCATTAGAATTGATTTGCAGTGAGTAATTTTAGAGTTTGACATTTAATTTCATTTTAAAATAATAAAGAAAAAATGCTTTAACGATGCATATACCAATTTCATAGATATTATGTTAAACCAACTAGTTGAAAATGACACATCTAAGGTATATTTAAAATAAAACATCAAAAAAATTATATCAAATGACTTCGAATCATTTAATATCTGCTTGTAACAATATAGATATTAATAATTCACAAGTTGAGATATCAAAAAAAAAAACACCTTAATTTTTTTTGTCTAACAAAACCACCCTATGTAAGGAATAAAAATAAATAATCCAAGGTTCAAAATCTATTGTCTCTTGTAATTGTAATCATTGAATACAATTTGATTTAAAGCTAAAATGTAATTCTTTTCAATAGTTTGATGTTTGTAATAATTTGTGATATGTGTAAAAAATAATTTTGAACCTTTGGACAAATAATTGTATAATATTATTGCTCTATATTGTATAAGAGAAATAACATGTCGGTTAACAACTGCACTTCCTGAATTGCTTTCGAAGTTGCATAGTAGCCACTTGTCTCTTAGTAGAAGACTCGATTTAAAATAAACATACCACGAAGTTGGTGTTCTGTTAATTTCATATTGCGGGTCCTAATAATATGGAAAATGCATGTGTGTGAAACATCAATTTAATAACTTAATGTACATGTTCTAAAAATATTAGAAAAAAAAACGAATCCAATATTCTCTGACATTGCTCAAATGTTTTTTTTGAACAATGTGTGTGTGGGTGGTGCTCGCAGGACACCATTCTGATAACATCTGTACATTTATTTATCTTTGTGCTCCTCACGTTCAACACATTTATATTGGCAACATCAATGTGTACCATAAATCTGGTTGATAAAGTAGTTTTGTATTATTGATCAGATTTTTGTTCAATAACAATAATAGTTAATTGCCTTAATTTTTGATGTTTGAAGACATTCATGGAAATTAATCCAGTGTATTGGAAATTGTAAATTTGGTATATATAATTTTTTCACGAAACATGTGCATTTTAAAAAATCAATAAATCTACAAAAAAATTGAAAATATTTCTTTTCTTCTTCACTCTTCTTACAGGGAGTTTTTTTACAGCTTTTTTTCTTGTTTGGGTATTTATTTCTGTACAGTATAAAAAAATGTTGATTGTTTAATGAATTAAGTTGTACTCAATATCTGAGATTTTTTTTAAATAGGGAATGCAATACCAAAAAAGTATGCCGCCTGATTTTTCGGCGGTATTAGTATATAAAATTTACTATATAATTATATATTATACTATATAAAATTATTATATTATATAAAATTTACTAAAATCTAGTAAAAACTGTTATATATACTTGGATACTAAAATTTTGAGTAATTCGTAGTTGAACTGAGAACTTTAGTATTTTGATAAATTGCAATACATATGCATATGGATTCAGAACATTTTTTCCTTTTCTGCAAATTACCTAAAAATTTTCTTTTTAGACATTAAACAAAACTAGATAAAATTAACTAGAATTTAGTCAAAACTATTATATACACATGTGCACAAAATATGAATACCTTCTACTTAAATATTTTGATAATATGCATTATATGCATTTAAAACTACGTTCGTTAATTTTGTTTTCTCGACGTTTCAAGCCATTCTGAATCGAATGAGACTAAATTTGGAAAAAGTTGTGTGTGTGTGTGTGAACAGATTTTTTGCCGTAAATCGACGTTTTCTCAAAAAAAACGGCTGGACCGATTTCAAAAATTTAAAAGCCATTCGATGTATCTCGATGAGGACGATCGGCCAAGCCGTTTCTTTGTAGATAGCAGAAAAGTGCAAAAAAATTTCGTCCACGTTTTAGCCCGCAATTCTGAATCGATTTTGAAAATTCAAAAACCGTTTGAAAGATATTGGTTGGAAATCGTGCTGATCAGTTTTTGGTAAAGATTGAATAGAAAAAAAAATGTTTTGACGATTTTCATGAATTTTTTTTGTTTATAGATATCATGGTCTTCTAGATCATACTAAAACATTTTGGCTCTACGACAAGTCGTTTGGTTTTGAAAAGTCAAAGTTTGCAAAAATTAGTATCGTTTTTTTCGGCGTTTGTCAAAATTAGACCTTTTATCTACTATTTATCTATTAATTAACTATTTAACTATTAACTATTCAACCATTGACTATTAATAATTTAACTATTCACTTATGTCTATTCACTATTTACTGTGAACTATTTAACCATTTAATGTTAGCTAGTTAACTATTTACTTTTAACTCATAACTATTCACTATTTACTATTAACTATTAACTATCTACTATTGAACTATTCATTATTTGTTCTTAACTTATCACTATTCACTATTTACTATCAACTATTAACTATTTAACTATTTGACTATTCACTATTTAACTATTGACTATTCACTAATCACTAATCATAATTAATTACTATTAGCTATTTATTATTCTTCATTCATTATTCATTATTTTTATTCATATTTATATACTTTTTTAATTTTTTTTATTTCATTTTATATTTATATTTAAAATGTGCACATTCACCAAGAGTGCACATTTACCGTAACATATATAATTTTTAATTTTTGTACTAGTAACTTTCAATTTTATTTACATTTAAGATAATAAAAATATCGGCATTTTACCAGTATTACCGGTTTTCAAATTGAAAAATCACCGAAATACCAGTATTAAAATCTTTTATCGGTATTGCATTCCCTAGTTTTAAATATTGAGGGTACTAAATTTCAATAATTATTTTCACAAAAACCATTTGAATTCTTGTGCAAGTAATATTTGTTTACATATATTTATGAATTTATTTTTTGTATTAATTAATTATTATTCTTATAGGTATCGAGTGATGAATATTTGTCTGAATGATTGTTTTGGTTTTATAATTGTGTTTAAAATTAAATGTCAAATATTATAATTAAAAAATTAAATTTGTTTATTTTCTAGAAAATTTTTTTCATTTCAGAGTCTAATGTAGAGCTGCGACAGCAATTAAATATATTATTAATTTAATTTATTATTTATCAATAGCCGATTGCGCAAATAATAAAGGAGAGCTTAACAATGCATAGTACCTTATAAAATACTATTGAAACATTAAATTAAATAATTAGAAGTAATATGCAAAATTTATAGAAGCTGTTTTCATGATGTGTTTTTGCCTATCAGTATTTTTACTAATTGCATTAAAGTTAGTAAAAACTTTAGGACTAAAGAATTTAAAGTCTTTAGACTTTGTAATAGAAAAATATTTGAGTTCGTAGAGAAAATCCAGAAACATTAAAGGATACCTAGTCATGATTTTCAGAAAAAAACTATAGCATTATTAAAAAAATTAAGTACTAATTAAACTCTTTCAGTAAAACGTGTGGCGAAAGATGATGTGTTAAATTCATTCAATAACATATTGTGGTCAAAGCCAAAGATTAGTATGTCCTTAAATGTAGTTGAAATTGGAAAATTATTTAACTTACATCTGATATTTTATTGAGAAAAATATTAAATTGTAGAGGACCAAGATTGGGTCCTTAAGGCAGACCTGAGCTAACAGATGCAAAACTGCTCAAAGATTTGTTGAGAAAAACAAATTGCTTACAATTTTGAAGATAACTTATAAAAATGAGTAATGAAACCAATCGTAGTATATAATTGTATATACTACATATGTATGTACTAGGGTTTATACAAAAACCGACATTTCAGAAAACCGGTTTTCAAATTTTAATTTTACTAAAAAACCGTTTTTAACCGGTTTTCGAATTTTGTATAGAAAATAAATTTTTGCTCGAATATTCTGTAATTTATCCGCAAATTTAATGTAATTTAGAGTAATATTTGACTGAATTTATTTATAGTTCTATTTTATAGATAGTAAACAAAATTATTTTAATTTTAATTAGCAGAACTAAAAAATAATACTTTATCTTGATTAAATAACTTTGAAAATAATTATTCGTTATTCATGCATCATTATCACATATAAGAATGAAAATATTTTTATGTGATAGTGAAAGGAAAGTTTTCGAATAAATCACAATAATACATTTTTATATATAAAAAAATTCATTAAATTAAAAAATAAAAGTAAAAAAATATTAGATACGTGTTGATACATACTTGTTAATATCAATTTTAGTTTTAAAAATAATTAAGTTAAACTCGGGTATTGTCTGTTCCGAACAATTTTAATTAATTGATTTTAAACATTCTAATTGTTTTTTTGTTTAATAAAATATGATTTCAAAAAACTGAGAACGTCTATCGAATTGCTGCTTAGACGTGTCCTTTGATTACTCATAAAATTTCCTGAAATAGAAAATACTCTCATACTTGCGACCAAATTATGCTTAATTGTTTTTAAAGCCTGATATAATAATTCTGAGTTTTTTGTTCTTTAATTTGTGGCTTCTAGGGTTTAAAACTTTTTTTTTTAGTTTGAGTAGAGGAAGTTACTTCTTCTAGAAGAAATCACACTGATTTAAATTAATATATACACTGGTATAAAAATCTAAATTAATATATACGAAACTTTTCTGGGAACCATTGCAGACTGATAAGGTATCAAATGCTATTGAAACGATATGATTTCAAGAATCAAAACGCTTTCATCTATCTTTTATATTTGGCTATATTTGTCATTTTCCATTGATACGGTGAAAACCGACTTTTTTCACTAAAAAACCGGGTTTAGAATACCATAGTTTTCGCCAAAAAGCCGGTTTTTGAAAACCGACTAAGCCTAATATTTACGACAATGAGTGCATTAACTTTATTCAATGAATACTACTATTGTGTACATCTCCAGTGTTCGTAATAAATGTGATCCAATGAGTAGTAAATTTTCTAATTTTTTTCTTCTGCTATTTCCATTCGAGAATTAATATTATATCAGGTAGTTCGATTAGCATATTATTACTTTTATACAATTATATATTTGTGTAAAAGTAATAATATAATATAAATATTTTTTGCTGCTTAAATACATTGACGTCACTGATATATTTTACACTCTAAAAAGTATTGTTATTTCAGGCTATGAAAAAAACAGACTAAATGTGTCCAAATTCACGGCCAAAGATTGTCGTATTTAGAAATATGACCCCTTACTATTCAATAAATTATACTTTGGAGTTATTCACACTTGAACACAATTTCATTGTTCTGTATCTTTGAAGTAATATTTTTGTATTTTCTGAAAAAAAAACGTATACCTAAAAGGTCATAAAACTGCCTGTTTAAAAGACGAGAAGCGACAGCTTCCTTAGTACCAGTGTTCGCGCCAATCAAAGCATGCGGTTATGTTGATATATAAACAAAAAATCATCAGTCGAAAATCACAATAAATAAAATCAATCAATACGTTGTACAATTGTAATCTGATTGTTAAAATTAACAGAAATAATAAAAAAAAAAAAAAAAAAATCAATACGTTATCAAAAAACATATTAAAATTATTGTAAATACACTTATAACTTGTTATTAACATAAATTAAATATTACTAGTTACAAATTATAGTATTTTACAATTGGTCCTTTAAAATTCAATCACAACAACGATTGAAAAAACAACCAGTTTAGGGAAGTCGGATATGACAAATCCGGCGAGACAACTCCACTCGGATTCACTCCGAGGGAGGAGTTGTATCTGAGTGATAACTCCGGAGTGAGTTACCCATCTCTAGTAGTGAATATACTACAATCAGTGCTGGATTATCCCATAGGCCCGTGAGGCCCGGGCCTAGGGCGGCACAATTTGGGGGGCGGCAAATTTTTCCGATTTTTTTTTTTTGTCACGGCAATTTATTTTAAGGATTGATCTTGATCTAGATAATTCTCTATGAAATAGAATGTTATTCGTTTTCTAATCAAACTTATTCAAGGGCGCCTCATTAATATTTTTAGTGATGTATCATGTTTATTATCAAATTAATAAGCTTTTTTGTGAGAAATAAATTAAAATAAAACTAGTGGGGTGTATGGCATTGTGCCTTAAGGCAAATTGCTGGAACTTCTCGTACCGTAACGAGATGTT